CCGGCAGATTTCGCCTTGAAGACACCGGGTGCTCGCCAAGAAGACCGTGGTGCCAAGACGCATCAAAGAAGCGATGAGATCGCGAGACACCCTAACAATATCAACGGCGACGCAGGTTTGCGACTTCACGATGCTTGGAAGCCGTTACTTCGGGCACGCGACCACGTCTCACAGAACCGGACCGCCTCATGCCGTCCGACCCAGGCTGCCCATGCGGGCCAATCGCGGACCGGCTCGCGCCCTCGATCCCGGCCACTCGACCCCCTGACGACCTTTCTCGCGCCGTCCGATCACGCGCCACGCCGTCCCGATCACGCGCCACCCGATTGACTCCCCCCCCCCCCGCGCTTCTAACTGGCGCTCCGATTGGCGCTGCTTCAGCCAATAGCCACACGCCTAGACTTGAATATAAACACGAGCGCTACCATCACGGCGCATACCAGCCCTGAGAAGACCACGACAGTATGTCGAAACGTCGGCAACTCAGCCTTCGACGCGGCGTCACCCGGACAGCCCAGATCACACACACTTATAATTAAATTACTGAAAAGATATTGCAAAGAGACACATAATTAAGACGATGGCTTCGCATTGCACTATTTATATACCCTCTATACCCTTATATTTAGAAACGTAAGTATAATATTTTGGGACGTAAAACACTCGTTCTACACTTTGCCTATTCTATTCTCATGTTTTAAAGACATGGTTGTATTATTTTATTGTTATTTAGTTGGCTTTGAAAAATTGTAATAAACAAATGACGTCAGATATACATCAATTCTATTAATTTTAATATATTAAATTTTAGTGTTTTAACCAACCAGTTAATAAGTGATTGGTGTTTAAACCAAACCAATTAATAAGAGAAGGTGATGACAGTTGCGGGGTCTACTTCCTTTCATACGTAATTTCACTACTGGTTAGAAACCTTGTACAAATTCGCCAGTTGCAGAGCAACGAGCGGACTTGTCTAGAAGTTCCAAACCACAAGTGGAATTAGGTAGACTATTTCCCAAATAAAAATTATAAATCGATTAAATATTATGGATACAATGTTCAAATTAGAGAAATATTTGTTGGTGGGTTGTTTCAGACGCTATATTGGTTATTGCATTTTCTGTCAAGGAAATAATATTTATTTTCCAAAATAGTTGAACATCGCGGTAAGGCGAAATAGAAAGGGGCTCATGCAAACTTTTTGTTTTGGGCGCCCGGGATTGATCACTTGATTACAGAAGGCTATTGGCCGGATTGAAACTAATAACTCATGAGTAGAATAATAATTTACAGAAATAAATCAAAAATTTGTTCGAAAAGAAAAATAAACTTTCTTTTTAATCGTAAATCCTTAGTATTTAAGAAATTATGTGTGTGTTCAAGTTGAGTATTCATGGGTTATACTATTACGTGATTACATTTAATTTTCAAGAGCATTTTTTGTCCATGATTACTCATATTATTTAACTTCTGGGTGATCATTGAATTTCAAGTGTTCTACCATTTAATTGAAGCAATAATGGGTGAGTGTATAAATAAGTCCATTTTAACAATATGTGTTTGAAGTATTCATGGCGTGATACTTCTGCACATTAATGCCCTGGTAATGTTACGGTCTGATACGAGCCTTGGCCGCCCAGCGGCCCAGCCTCTCGGCCATGCGATAAGTGTTTCGTGAGATTAACACGAAGACATCCGTCCACAGTACATACTGATTTTCATAACCTTAGAATGAGCTTTCTCATCGTCACACTGCAATACATATTGGGATATTTGTGAGGAAACTGATAAGTTATAATTTGCTCTGGCCGGGAATAAAATCCAGGGTTGCGCCGTGGAAAGCAAGCATGCTAATCAACAAGTCATCTTTCACCAACTATTAGACTATAGTTGTGTGAAAATATTACTTCAATCAATAGTCATAATATACTCATGATAATAGTGAGTTTACGTATTTGCATTCATCTTCGTGCAAGAGATAAACAAATTATAGACGTTCGTTGTCATTATTGGGAGTGTATATGCGAATAAGAAATATATAAGGAAGAGGAGTCAATATTCTGTACTTCGTTATGTTTAATTAAATGTGTATTATTTATACCGTCCCTTCTCCTGATTTGACAGCGTAGCATCGTTAGGTAGTATGTGTAGCAGAATTGCACCACTGAGATGACAACTTGATCGCATTGAAACATTTACAGAAGTTTATAAAGCTGAGAATAGAAAATGTATGTACAAGTTATTCACGTTTGTGTTACTGTGTGGATGAAAAATATATGTACTCATTAAACTACTACATTTCTTTTTATCACTGAGGACTTTTGAGTAAAGAATAAGAAGTGTCGGATGCTTTAAAGAATTCAATAATTTAATTTTTAATTTTTATGAAGACACATACATGTCAAATTGTTAATGAAGAACACTGTTGTGAACATTTAGTAACACTGTGCGTTTGTGTGTGCAGACTCTCTCCACGCGGATGAAATCTACGTAAGCGGCCGCGGCGGCGGCGGCGAGGGCAGCGGCGGCGGCGGCGGACTTCGACGCCAGCGCCTCCAAGAACGTGACGGCGCTCGTCGGCAAGACGGCCTACCTCAACTGCCGCATCCGCAACCTGGGAAATCGAACGGTAAGTGAAGTCGTAGGAGCATTCATGGATTGACTGGTTGATTAATGATTCAGGGTGCATCAACGGCTAAGGTTATTATTCCCGTACGTGTAGTGCATGTTTTTGCTCGGGAGTTGGTCTTCCTTGGCTGGAGGGTTAGATCTGGCTCCGACTTACTCGTCGACTCGCGAGGTTATTTCCCGACCAGGTATCTCCCGCCAGCTGGGCCAAGATCTAAGCTGCCGACTTGGCTCCCGGCACGTGTGGAAGTGTAGTGCATGAAGATGTATGTGTGTGAGTAATGGATGAAGATAGAACAAGGAAGAGGAAGAAAAGATCGCGCGCGGTCCGTCACTAGTTTGTTAGAATGTGGCTTCGGCATTGATCTTCTGTTGATCGAAAAAGCCACGGAAAACTACCGATCAGAGCAGAGCAGCTGGCTGTGAGAATTCTCCTCCAGACAGCTGCTGAAATCGACCTAGCTATGGGGTTAGTGCCAAAAATTCTGCCACCGTCGGGATTCTAAGCCTAGAACCTTCCGATCAGAGGCACAGCAGTGACATCAATCGATGCCCTGAGCAACCTAAGCCGGTGTTGTTGGAGCCTTCAGTTAGCTATTTACGTAATAAGTTGAATGGGCTTTCTGGTTACCACACTATTATGAGTCCAAAACTTGCCCCTCCCGTGACATTTGCTATATCGATTTAGCACTCACAGTGGTGGTGTTTAGACCTATAATAGTTATTTATGCACCAACGGCGTTATAAAGGCGTTATAAGTTAAATGGTCGAACGGCGACAAAAAGACTTTGGGAAAAAAGCACTCGAGCTTTTTGTTGCTGCCAATATTATTAGAACCAGTTAACGCCTATGCGTAATAACATGCATTATTTTTTATAACTAATTGTAATTATTCGTATTTACTTAATTAATAATTAACTAGTTGTTCACTTCGGTTTGTCATTTCATATCTCCCTCCCATAATTCCCTCTAATAACTCTGTCCGTGAGGAAACGTATTGCAACATTCAAGTGTTTTCATATTTCCCATGTTCCCACGATCCTCTCGATGCACGTAAGGTATGCACTGAATATCGAGCCCAATATCGAAGATAATAAGCAATACTACAGAAAATAAACATATTTTGGTAATTTCTTTTGGATTTTATCCAAAACGAGTAAGTATAATACTAGTTGCATAACAAGGGTTGAACTCAATGAAATACCGCATTTTGAATAAGGTTACAAGTTAATCGTATTTAATTATTAACGTATTATATCTGGACAAAATAAAATACGAAGCCCCTAGCCGGTAGAAAAACTTTTCCTCTTAACATAAATGATGAGAACCTGTAACCAATTTCTCATCACTTTAGCATCCTGGAAAAAAATTCCTCTCTTGTCATTTTCAATTAGATAATTGCTAATTGAACTGCTGACTCGGGATGTCCAGCCATATTTGTAAATCGATTTCGGAATAATGAAATTTTTATTAAAAACAAGTAATTAAAGTTTACAAAAGCTCTTAACATCTTCTCCCTCTGATTTATTAATACTTCAACATTTGTGCCAAATAATTTCTGTATGTTTTGTCATCTAATTCTAACATTCAGATCTCCTCTAACAATATAATTATTTTATTTATTAAATCAATTAAATTTAGTAAGTTCTTGTAAACGTTATTAGTATCATCTTTTCGTCCTTCTTCCGAATCTTACAGCGATATTATGCTCAGAATGTCCTGCTCACCTTGAGTCTTAATGTGTAGATCGAATTGAATTGAATTTGCCTTATTTTACTTGGCGAGACTCGGGCCATCAGGCCCGCTCTTCCGT